TAACAGTCTAACTAGACATCCTATCTCCACTAAACATTTCTAATACATAAAGTATCTATCCAATATCTAGCTGACTAAAAATACCTAACAGACGAGAGAAACTTTAGTCAGAGGCTGTTGTTGTAAACCCAGGAAAACACTGTTGGCGGCCTGGTGTAACTGAGAGGGATAAGTAATAATCAAATTTCCCTGTTGTTTGTAGTTTCTCTGCATGATGTGATGTGGGAGGAGATCCCTCAGAGTGGAGAACTTCCCTCAGCCAGAGAGGGACACACTCTCTGGTAAACTTCAAGTTATGAAAAAATTGAAATCACACATATATCATTCAGTTTCAATTTTTTGTCCTTTTGGAAATTCCTTTTGTATCTGTGGCGATTGTCAGGCAAGGACATTACACATCAACACATTTTATTTTTTATTTTTTTATTAGCCAGTTGTTTTATATATTAGCTCCTGAACTGTGCAGGTGTTTTAACTCCTGTGTTAACAGAAAGTTAGCAAAGATTGTTTTGTTTGGACTTAACAACTTTGTGCTAGCCCCAACATAGCTAATGAATTTATGAATAGCACCTTATGTATAGAAGATGAAGCTCAAAGTGTTACCAGAATAGAACATTTATTTACGTAATTTATACAAAAATTTAAATATCAAAGCAATCATTTTTAAACAAGATTGATAAAGTAATAATGTTACATATATTTACTGAATAATTTGCATGTTGCATATGTTATTTTTTATAATAATTGCATAAAGTTAGCTGGTGTCAGCTCCTGCAGTTGCAGTGGCCGCCCAGAACCAAATCAGTGAGCTGAAGGCTGTGTAGGGGTGTTGATCCTTGGTGATGACAATACACAAACACACCACTGCCATTTTAGTGCGATAGCTTTATCTGGTTTCCTTCTCAGTGTTGTGAATGGCAAGTTGTATCTGTTTGGTGGAGTGTCCAGCCCCGACACCACCGAGTGTCTCCCAGGAGTCTACAGCTTTGATATAGGTGAGCATGTTACACAGCAGATGGGGGAAAGACATTCAACCTGGTTCATTCTTTTGCAAGGGCCTGTGACTGTATACCCTTCTTTGAACAGTGTCGTTAACCTGGGATTCCTTAGCAACTGGGGGTGTGGCCCTCAGGACCCTCAGACATAGCTCTGCTGCTGTGGGAGAAAACATCTACGTGTATGGAGGGAGTTTGGGAGGGAGCCCAACCAACGACCTTATGGTCTTCAACACAGGTCCATAAAAATTAAAATACACATACATTATTATGATCTTGATTTCAGAACCTTTCCAAAAATCAGATTACAAAGACTGAATAATTCTTGCTTAAAAAAACACAAAAATGACTGTTTCAAGCAGTTTCGTTAGTTTCCTCTAAAACTCTCCGACTTTGTCTCTGCTGTGTTTCAGTGTCTCTCATGTGGACTCCTGTTAAAACCAGTGGATCTCTGCCTCCTGCCCTGTGAGAAACTCCTTTCCACTGAATATTATACATTTTACAAAGGGTTTAGTAGAGGAATGTTGTATCGCCTTAAATTAGAATGGGCAGCATTCAGGGTTTTCTTATCACTCAGTGCAAATTTGAGTTTGAAATACTTTACATCTGCAGCTTATTAATACCAACATACAATGATAAAATGTGTGTGTGTGTGTGCGTAGGTGTGATCAGACTTTTGCTCTGGCTGGTAATCAGGTGTACATGTTTGGAGGTTACGGAGCAGGCGGAGACTTCTGTAAACACCTCTATGTCCTCAAGACTGGTAAATACCAATTCAGATTATCTCAGATGGGAAATACGAATGTAACCCCAGTGTTTACGCTGTAACACAAACACTACATAAACTTGGTTTGGCCGTTCACATATGGATAAAAGGCAATTTCATGTAAATCAAAGTGTGTTTGGGTAGCACTCAGACTGCCAGTATGAATTATTAAAGTTAGTTTATTTTAAGGTATGTTTTATTTCAAATATGTCAAGATTAAGAATTATAAATCCATTGACAGGAATATGTGCATGTGTGCCCTTGTATGTACATGACTATAACCAAACAGGGACCATCTCATAAAACACCAGCTCCACAACGCTACTATGTTCAGTAGATGTCAAAAACACCTTAAGGAACCTTTGACTCTAGGTTTCATAAGTTTTACCTCCACAGATTATTCAACAATCTCTGATCTCTGACCTTTGTGTTTGTACTGGTTTTTAGAAAACCTGATGTGGCATAAATTGGAGGTAAAGGGAGAAACACCTGCAGCCTGTAGCAGACAAACATTGACTGCCCACCATGATAAAGTACTCACACACACACATGCACACACACACACTTAAAAAAAAAGATATATAGTAAAAATGAAACAAAACATAAATCACCTACATTGTAAATACAGTGAAATAGTCATTGGATTATCTCTCTATTGTTGTTGCTTTGATTATAATGAATGTTCTTCATCTCCCCTTTAACAATCCCATGGAGGACATCTACTTATTTGGTGGCAGAAGCAAAAACACAGATGGCACCGTGACATCGTCCAGTGAAATCCATAAACTCAGTATTGGTGAGTGAAACGCTGCAAAATAAATAAACCTGTGAACAGTTCTAAAGAAACTCAAAGAAGGTTCTAGTCTTCAAATGTTTCATGTGATTCTCCAGCTAAGATGAAGTGGAAAGTTCCGCTGTACATTGGCATTCCTCCGGCTCGTCGACACGGACACACAGCCTTCATCCTCCATAGTCATGTCAGTGTGCCACTGAACAGTTTAACCTGAAATTACATAAGTCAGATTCCTTATTCTCTTGTCTTATAATATAAACAATACTTTGCGTGTGTTTGTTGGGTTGACAGTTGTATATATTTGGAGGAAAGAATGAGGAGCAGGAGTTTAATGACCTGAAAGTGATGAAACTCATCAATCCATCAGAGAGACAGCCAGGTATATATTATTCATATTTAAGTGATTATCAAACAATAATAACAGTAGAATAGTGCTTGTTGCAGCCACAATCTGAAACAGTTGGAAAGAACAAATAACATATCAATGAGTTTTTACAAATTGGAGGGAAATAAATTGACAAAGGTAGTTGTGTGAAAAATGAAAAAAGACAACTTTTTCTGCCCAGTGATGAAGGAGATTCTATCTGAGTTTGGTCTTCAGGGAATCAGTCACAGGTCAGCAGCTGCTCTACACATCTGTGTTTCTAGTTCCTAGTTGTGTTGGTGTGTGTCTGCAGTTTCAGCCTGGTGTCATGCTCTGTTTGAGTCTCATCTCTCATTTTGAACACATTCTGGTTTTGACTGTTACCAGTTTCACTCCAACAAAGGTTCCCAATGTCCGCTACGAGCTGAGCGAGTTGGCTCTGTCTGATCAGTGCAGGAACGCAGCAGCAAATGCACAGGTGATGACAACACGCACACACACATACACACAAAGAGAGAGACTGATGGTTGCAGCACTGTCTGTGGTATTAGCAGCAAAACCAGAAAGATAAGGGCCAGTCTGTGGCAAAGGCAAATTGTAACTAGACACATCAGCTGAGACCAAGCCAAAGAAACTTAAAGTTGGCAAAATGGTTGGCAATTTAAAAAAAATATATAAAGACTTTGTGTTTTGAGATCACATCAGTCATTTTGTAAAAGGCAAGAAGCAACTAGGAGGTTAACAGAAGGCAGATGTAGTTGCTACAGTAATAATAAACTTTCTTTCAGACAGCAAGTTGCTGCCGCATGTATCACTGAGGGGTGGCAGCAGTGGCTACTAGCTATTGTGAGGCGTGTTCTTTTTTATATTGAAAAGA